TGGGGTCATTTGAAAGCACAAGACCCCTCCTGCTGCTCCCACGGCACCGCTCCTTTCAGGGACTGCATGGAGTGGGAGCAGAGTGGGGTCTCAACTGGCCACACAGCAAATATCCTCCACACGTGAGCTTCTGCCTTCAGCAAGGGGTCTGCACCCTGACCCCTCAACTGTGGGCCTGTACCCATGGGGATGCCCACAAGGCCTGGCATCGTTGGGTGCTGGGGGCTCACCCACCAAGATGCAACCAGCAGCCACTGGAAGGCAACTGCTTTGGTCCCTGCCAACCGTGTTAGATGTAGGGATATGCGTGCACTGCCAAAAGCAGGTAGAGGACACCTGCGAGCTAAGGGCAGGCAGCAAGAACCCGGGCTTGCCATCTCAGCACGTGCCCTCTTCCTCAGGCAGGAGCTGTGTGCCACTGTGGCTGCCCTGCTGGCAGTGCCCCAGCCAGCCAAGCTGATCTTGCAATACATAGGAGGAAGCCACAGGAGCGACTGCCACGCCGACGTGGCTGAAGGGGAAGGAGCTGGCTGGTTCTGCAGTGGACGTGAGGGTGCCCTGGCTGGCACGACCCTGTCTCATGCCAGGCAGCCTCTTCCCAGCCCTTGCCATGCGGCTGCAGCCACCCGTGCCCTCCGCACCCAGCAGCACCCCTGGTGACTCCAGCACAGCTCAGTGCACACCTGCCAATTAGAGAGGTGTCTTTATGGGCACTCAGCTTTGCTACATAGCCAGTGCCATCGCCCAGCTGGGCGTGCATATGACTGCATCGGCTGCTTCACATCTTAAGTCCTTTCAATTACAAAGGTGGAGCCTCCTGTCATCAGCCACCGTGACAGCCACAGTCCCCTTCCAGCTCCCTTGGGAGTCGATGCAAAGCCTCCCACAAACACCCATGTCACCCAAGACTTCCAGCCTGCCATGACTTGTGCGCTGCCAGAGCGGAGATGGGTTTCCACCCTTCCTTCCCTGGCTGGTTCTCTTGCAGCCATTGCTCTAACCCAGGGGTCAGCAACCCCCGGCACGCATGCCGAGCATGGCATGCAAGGCGATTATGCTTGGCACACTGCCGCCAGCCCAGGCTCTAAGCAGTTGCTGCCAGCCACGGAGCCCAAGTCCATAATCTAACCTGCTCACACAATTACCGTTAACACTGACACAACACCAGACATCGCATCTGAACTTGCCACAGGTGAAGCAGGGGGACCTTGGCAGTCAGTGCCCTGCTGCTGTAAAGGTTCATATATCAAGAGATCCCAGGAAGAGGCCGTGCCCCTGCTACAGAGGAAGGCAGAAACTCCCACAGCCCATACCCACTGCGATGCATGGACAGGGCTGCAAGGGGTTATCCTAATAACAAGTGGCAGGGCCAGAATAGCCCTGGGGTCCCTGGGCACGGCTCTGCGCTCTGGTAAGGGACAGAGTCCCGTCATCCTGGAGCGCCCCTGGCCTCTCTCTTCTCCCTCCTCTGGGTCTCATGGACCCAGGGCTGCTGCTGCTCGTCCCTGCGGGGTAGGAAGGGGAAAGGACTCGGGGTTCATGGGTCCTGCCACGAGAGAAGAGAAGAGCTCCTGATCAGGGGAAACAGCCCTCTTGCTGAATCCACTGGCTTTGACCTGAGGAGGAGCAGCAGGAGCAAACAGAAGGAGAAGCGACTTTGGGCTGATCTGTGGGTCCCGGGAGCATGGGGCTGCGAGCACCCACCCGCCCTGGCCTGTCCAAGATCTCCCCAGCACCCGCCCTTGAGCCCTCGGGCTCCAGCAAGCCTGGGAGCAGGCTCTGGACAGCCTGGCCATAGACTCAGGTGAACAAGCTGTGCTCAGCCCCGTGCAGACATGGAAGAGACAAGCCACGGGGGCTTGTTCTCACTGGGATCCACGACCGACCTTGGCTGGCTTCAAGGGCCAGGCTCAGAGCAGCTGCTCCGTGCAAAGCCAGAGGAGCAAGCAGAGGCGCCGTGCTGGTGAGGCGAAATGTCCCTCTTCACCCCTGGCACTAGCTCCGTCTGCTCTGACTTCGGTTCGGGCTCGCTGATGCACGGGAAGCAAAACACACCCTTGCAGCTCACAGGGCCGAAAGCCCGAGCCACGTGTGACCAGCACAGCATGGGCCCGGCAAGCGCTGAGTTCAGCTGAGCAGGCAATAGAGGCACGAGGCTTCCCAGGGCAGGGGCAGGAAGCGCAAGATCACAGCACTTATCTGGGCGCTGGCTCCCGCCCTGGCCTCTGGCACCAACGTGACTCGTCCGACCACACAGGCATTGCCCCATCAATGCAGGACTCGGGTTCTCGGCGAGGCGCCGGTGCCCTCGGCCCAGCGCACCAGTGATGGGCACGCAGCGCCAACCCCGCTGCAAAGCTGCAGCTAGAGAGGGGACAGGCTGGGTCTTGCTGGGGATGGGCAGTGACCGAAGCCAAATGCAGGACCAGACCCGTAGCTGGGACGTACTGGGGTCAGCTTCAAACGCTAGCCTGGCCCCGTTGAGCACAGAAGCCGATATTCCCAAACCCGGGCCCTGCGCCTATGCCCCTTGGAGACATGAGGCTGGTCCTGTCCCCAGCCAGCAGTGCAGGTGATGGGGAGATGCAGAAGCAGATGTCCGAGTCCAGACACCACAGCTTGGTGAGGACAAACTGGCCCTTGCTGCACCAGATGTCACAGCATATGTGCAAGCCACAGGCCGGATCCCCGGGGTCTCATGGGAGCGGACCCCCTGAGTATGTCTGCTCCTGCTGATGCTGTGTTCACATCGATCTTTCCCTGTGCCTGTGGGATCTGTCGCTAGGTCCCGGTGCGCTCTCCTCCCAAGCTGGCCCAATACAGATTATCCATCTTGTGAGCTCCCAGCTCCTGCACACACAGACGTGTATACACGCACACATGCACACACCCAGAGGTATGCATGCACACCTCTTGCAAATCTGTAGATTCGCTGAGGCTGTAAATCCAGGAAAGATGAGCCCAGGCCAGGTTCAAGAGGGCGCAGCTCTAACACGTGTAGTGAAATCACACCTGTTGACAGCAGCTTTGGGGTTTATCCGTGCCCTGATGAGACAGGCCCTGATTCAGCAACTGCGCTAAATCCATGCCTGCCTGTGATCCTGGGCGTTACCCCTCTGTGGACAGGTGCTAGGCCCTGCACATACATATACAGAGAAGGATCCCCTGCCCCAAAGCGCTCGGTGTGCCCCTCTCAATCTGAGCTTCAAAGGGAAGAGTGGTGGTTTGCAGGGAGGGCTCCTGCTCCCGGGTTTTCTCCCAGGGATCTCGTATCTGAGATGAGAGCCTCGCCGTGCTAGGAGCTGTACATTCCCCGCAGTGAGAAGTCACTGCCCGCCAAAGCCTCAGTCTTCCTGGATACTACAAAAATGTGCAGAAAGAAGTGATTTTATCCCCATGTTACTGTTTGGGAACTTGAGTCAGGATCCCCAGGGACCGGTTTGAAGCCCCGCAGAAGGGCTGCGGGTAGGGACTGAGGAGCAATTTGCCCTGGTAGGAGGCAGCTGCCCCCTGAGCTCTTCCCTGGGTGCTCAAGTCCATCACGGCAGCTTCTCAAAGCAGGACTAGTGCCGTCAATCGGCAGAACAGCTGAGAGCCTAGAAGCAAAGGCACTGTGAGAGGGAGACCTCCTTTATGTCTTTTGTCTACACCTTGTATATGCTTATAATCACAGAAAAGCAGGGCTGGAAGGGACCTCCAGAGGTCATCTCTAGTCCAAACCCTGGCCTGAGGCAGGACCAGCCCTGTCCACACCATCCCAGACAAACCCGTCATCTAAACTTCTAGTAAAACCACTGTCAACCCTGACACAAGACATCACATCCGAACCTGCCACGGGGAAAGCAGGGGGACCGCTGCAGGCAACATCCTGCTTGTATAAAAGGTTGTTAATATGCACTCGAGAGATGCCACGGAGAGGCCATGCCCCCGCTATAGAGGATGGCAAAAACTCTCACAGTCCGTACCAGCCTGACCACGGGGTAAAATTCCTTCTTGACCTCAAATATGGCGTTGATCTGACTCCAAGCAGAGGGGCGAGACCCTCCAGCCAGCAACCACCAGGTTTAAGTCTCCAGGTTTAAGCCCAGTCACCACCCCCAGCCTAGCCACATGTCTGTGCCACTAACCCCACTCTTTGCCAGCATCAAAGCCCATGGGAGCGATGGACGGGGAACAGTGCAATGTCTCACTCCCAAAACTAGTGTCGTGGCAGCTATGGGTTTATCAGTGCAGAGAGGCCCTCGTCCTAGCACACGTCCAATTCTGCTCTCCACGCTGCTGTCCATCCCGATGAGTCCCACGCACACCAGTGGGACTGTCTCAGTGTCAGGAGTTCACAGTATAATCATCGCTTAAAAAACCCAGCGGGCTGGCTGAGCTCACAGGAGGCCGCTTCGGAGAAGGGGGGGCATTAGACGCACACGGTCCGAGAGCCTTAACAAATCCTAGCTGTTTTTCTTTCCTCCTCCCAACTGTTGATATAACTTGCTCTGCTGCAGCGAGTTCTTGCCACGCAAGCGCGTGACCCTCCAAGAAGCCGGTCCGCAGGACAGGGTGAGAAATTAGGACAGCCCCAGCTCCAGAAGTTAACCCAACAGGTCAGTGAGCAGACAGTCCCTCGTAGCGTCCGGGACGGCTACAGCTAGCTCAGCGAGGGGGAACAATTGCAGCTGCTTGGAAAAGGGGGTTTGGTGACACATTTTTGACTCGTTGCCAAAAAAACAGAAACCGGAAAAGGGTTAGGACAAATACCAACAACACAGTGAGCCCGGGGGGAGACTGAAATAGCCCCCCACACACCGTCATGGAGCTGAAAATCTCTTTCCACGTGGTTTGGATGGAAGGAACGCCTTCAAGCAGCTGGGTCGGAGGTGTTGCTCAGACACCAGCGCTCCCGTGCTGGCCTGGGAACGGTCCAAACCTCCCCACAAGATCTAGAAATTGAAGGGAAAGCGATAAGGCCCAGACACGGCCCTCTGCTTTGTGAAAGGCGAGGTCGGCGGGGAATGGGAGGCGGTGGGCGTCTGTCGTATGCAACCTTGGTGAATCAGCTTCCTGCGCTCCTTTGACAGCGGGGTGTGGGCTGCGTAGCCGAAGGGGTTAAGAGCTGGGGCACGGCCAGACTGGGTTGGAAGCCAACATGTGATTGCAGGTGGGGCGAGGTGGAGCTATGAATCACTCTCTCTTTTCCTCTACACTTCTGGCAGTTTGTTACCTGTCCTGCTCCTGCCTCCTGGAAAGAGGAAGGACCCAGGTGCCAGCCGGGGCAATCCAGGAGAGGCAGCAGCTGGCTGCAGGGAAACTGCACCGCTGATCCCACAACCAGTGCAGAGGCAACTACAAGAGAGGAAAACCAGATGGAGAAGACCCTGGTGCCTGCCGGATTCCTGGGGTTTTAAGCTCAGTTGCTTTGTATTTTAATTCTTTATTCACACGCATGTGAAGGGGCAGGCGGAGCAGCCCGTGAATCCAGCAGCAGACGATTCAGGGGGTTTCTTTGAAGCCTCTCGCTGGGCTCCTAAAATCGAAGACGCGGGAGCCCAGAGCAGAGCCGGCTTTGCTCTACGCCCAGGCTCCTCCTGCCAGGGAGACCCGATGAGCAAACGAGAAGCAGACTCAGCGTCTGGAAACAACCCAACCGGCAAAAGACTGGAGACAGCGTGCGGGGAGCGCTTTCCCGGAGCAGGGCGCAGGGGGCACCTGGAGCCCTGTGCTTAGCTGAGGGAGGGGAGAGAAGAGGAAGCGAAGACCGGGAGTTCATTACCTCCTCGTTTAGTGTGGGGTGCCGGGTTTGGCCCCTGGCGAGCTCTCTCCTGGGGTCCCGGCGGGTGCGGCACTGAGGGCTGACAACCATGGCTTTCTCCCAGGTGCAGTGTCTGGATGACAGCCACGTCAACTGGAGGTCCAGCGAGTCCAAGCCCGAGTTCTTCTACAGCGAGGAGCAGAGGCTGGCCCTGGAAGCGCTGGTCTCCCGGGGGCCAGAGGCTTTCTATGAGGTCCTCAAGAAGGAGAACATCAGGGACTTCCTCTCCGAGCTGGAGCTGAAACGGATCACGGAGACTTTGGAAATCTATGACCCGGGCTCCGAGTACACCTCACGGCGCGGCAGCACCCCGGGGGACAGCGAAGGCAACCCCAACAGCCAGGCAGCCGAGCAGGACATGGCGCCGTCCTTGGAGTACTGGCCGCAGAGGTCCGACCGCTCCATCCCACAGCTGGACTTAGGCTGGCCTGAGAGCGCCGCTTACCGGGGTGTCACTAGAGCCACGGTGTACATGCAGCCGCCCATCAACGAGCAAGCGCACATCAAGGAGGTGGTGCGGAAGATGATCTTCCAGGCTCAGAAGGTGAGACGCTCGCTGATCGCGAACTTGGCTAGCTTGAGCAGGGCAGAGGCCCTGGCCCTGCTTTGTCTCCCTTCTGGGGGACTGCGCCCCAGCTCCAGGGCTTGGCCAACTCTGCCGTCTCCTTGTCAGGCGTTGCACCAATATTCACCCATCAGCTTCTGCTGCTTCCAAGCATGGAGCTGGGGCCCCGATCCAAGCCCCACGGGGAGCAGCGGGATCCTTTCCTGTGTCTCCCATGGGAGCTAGACCCAGGTCCTTAGGGACCACATGGCCATGGGAGACAGGACAAGGAATAAAAATGATCTGAGTTGCTTCCTAGCTCCAGTCCCGTAGTGAGGATCTCCAGAGGGGCGGGGGGCACTGGAATAGCGTAAGGGGCCAAGGCAGAGCTGGTGTAGACGGGTGCAGGCCACAAACACAGCACTAGCCTGGGGCAGGACTGAGCTGGGCCCGAGGTCTGCATGCTGTTCCTCAGATTCAAGTAGGTTAAAACCAATTACTGATAAGCACTGTCTGGGGGAAATGCCAACATCTGACCCAGCTCAGTACCAGACCACGTGCTTCTGCAGGCATTCAGTAACGAGCACCCCAAAGACAGGCCTCTGTGGCCTTTGCACAAAGGAGAACAAGCAGCTTCTCAGTGGTTTAGCCCTCGGTAAGGGTCTGACCGGGCTTTGGCACAACACACCGGTGCGGGCAGTGTGTGGCAAACAGAGGAGCTGTGATCAGAAGGTGACTAGGGATGAGGGTAGGACAGATTCCTCAACTCCTCGCTGCTTCTTTGCCAAGAGGGCGAGTGGAGCAAGGTCCTCTAGGGATGTTGGACACATACAGAGTCCAGCTGAGACTGCAGCAGGGCACCGCCGTCCTTGTTAAGGGGGTCTGGACCATACGGTGGTCACTGCTTTCTCATGGTTTCACTGCAATTTGGGATCCCGCCTGCAGCCAGGCTCTGCTGCAGACCGGGGGTGTTAAGTCCAGGATAGCGGTTCAAAACCCTGCTCTGCCACAGTCCCCGATGCAACCTCGGCCAAGTCACTTAGCCTCTTGGTTACCCCCTCTATACACAGGGGATAGTCGTGGTCTCCCACACAAGGGCTGGGATGAGGCTGCGTTCACCAAGGCTGGCCACGAGCGCTGACAACATGGGCTGGACGTGGGCAGAAATAAGGGGGGCTCCTGGGACTGGCAGGATTTTTGCAGGCATCGCACTGTTTAGCTCAGTCACCCGTGACCTCTGCTGCTCAGGAAAGCCAGGGCACAGCTGGGGATGGGGGTGCTGGCTTCTAGCTGCAGCCTCCGCCCAGCGAGGGAGGTCTGATGCCTAGCGCTGCTGCTTTCTAGCATTAGAAGGCATTTTCCCTTCCTCTCGCTCCCCCACCGTCTCTCATCACCTGGGCCGTCTGATGAGGAAATGGAAAAACGCTGAGAGACGTTGTACCTCCGTCATGGGGAATTGCCTGTGACGCCCACCCAGGCCATCTCCAACATGTTGCTTCACGCCGGGGAAGGCCATGCCCTGCCTCTGGCAGTTCAGGAGCCGTGCAGTCGGGCGGTCGTTCACACCCTGGCCGAGGACAATCGTGGCTTGTGCAGCATCAGCCTGGCCTGCTTGAGCTGCCTCTTGATCCTGGGAGCAGTTGGAGGTGCTGAGCTCATTCAAAGGACATGAAGCATAGTTAGAAATAGATACTGCCCCACCTGGGGCTGCTGGCTGGGTGCGGGGGACAAAGTCCCCCCAATGCATCTGCTCTCCGGACTAGTCCAGACCACGTACCGGCACAGCACTCCATGGAGGCTTGGGCCACGTGGCCCAGGGCAGGCAAAAATCATCCCCCCCTTATCGAGGTTGCAGGAAAACTGTCTACCAGGACAGCTCTGTCTACACCAGGGCTCTCTTCCCCTGTAGCTATGGCAGCACCAGGCCTAAGGCAGGATCTATACCAAGGTGTCACAGCACCCTGAGGTACGCGAAGATCCTTTCAAGGGTGCTGCAGGCTGCCACACAACGTTAGCACTGTTAGGTATGCAAACATGGTTCACAAGACAAGCCCAGAAAGTTCAAACAGAAATCCATAGTTGTGGTTTTTCTGAGCAGTTTGCAACAAAAAAACCCACGCTATTATTTTCCCACAGGCAAAAAAAAGAAGGAAAACTAAGAGCTGGCATTTTTCAAGAGATGCCGCGAGTCTATGCAGGGGCCCCTCGAGTCTACAAAGGTTGAGAATCGCTGGTCTACACAGTGTTTTAGCTATGCAGGGAAAGCTACAGTGCAAGACCCCCTGGTAAGGACACAGCCCCTGCCGGAGCTGTGCCAACTGCCCTACACAGCACAACTTGGTGTGATCACGATGGATTTGTATAGAGTGACAGTCCTGCCTCGGGCAGGGGGTTGGATGTGACCTCTGGAGATCCCTTCCAGCTGGACTTCTCTAGCATTCAAAGCCCCAGCTGACAAAATCCAGCCACGTAGATGAGGGCTAACTCATGGCACGTGAAGCCCGACAGGCAGATAAAACAAAGCAGGTGCCTTGCTCCTTGGCCAGGCAGCAATCGCAGCTTCCCTCCCGCCCTCCGCAGAGCTCCGTTCAAACCTGGCTGAGACCGTCCTGCTCCTGATGGCAGGTGGGGCTCCCAGCCCAGGGCAGGCAATGGGGCTCGGGGTTACTGACCTGGGAGGAAGGCTCGCGAGTGCCTGTAGGATCAAGCCGGCCTGGCTCAGAGCTGTGACGGATTTAAGGGTGATGGTTCATTGTTTGAAGTGGCTGAAACCATCAAGAGGAAAGAGGCTGTGAGGGGACGGGTAAGGGATCAGGACCCCTGAGCTTTGCCCCTCTCCCCCATGTCCCAGTGGTGGAAGCAAGGAAAGGGACGCAGGGTCCCTGCAGCCTGGCGAGTCACTTCACTGGGTCTCCATGTGAAGTCCCACAGACCCAGGACAATAAGGCAGCATCGGTTTGTGGGCAGGGTCCAGGCACTGCACTGACTGTTGTCCGGATATTCGGAGATAGCCAAGAGCCCCTTGGGCCCATCAGCAGACAGCTGGGGAAAGCTCCCGTTCAGGAGTGGGGCTGAATCTGATCTAGACCCTCCAACTCTCCCTTTGTCAGCGTCCAGCTTGGAAGATCGCTAGTACGCTCAGCCTCACCGGCCTGTGAAGAAAGTGGTGAAGCTCCATTAATTACTGTTTGCAAAACACGTGCGATCCGCAGATAAGAGGCACTGCAGAAGGGATAGGGATCAGGAATATCATTAGTCCCACCCACAGCTTTCCCAACTCATTATTCCCCTAATGGTGCGTTTGGCCCCAGCTAATACCCCGGGCTCATTCTGCAACCGTGCAGCAGACCTGCTGTTATTGCTCTGTGAATCAGAAAATAGGTTAATGGGCCTGTTGATTCCTCCAGTCAAACAGGATCCCGACATTTATAGGCTAATCAAAGTGGATTAGAGTCATTCCGACATCACCAGGTCGGATTCTGAGTTGGCTCACAGGCATGCAACACGTCAGCATCTCCTTAGCGTTCCCCATTACTGGGCTGTGATCTACAGACCTACATAAACACGCTGGTGTTTCTCAATACTTGATCCATCCAAGTATGCAACGCAGCGGCATGTTCCAAATACCTCTCCCGCTGGCTGGGAGTCAGGGGTGATGGAAGAAGAGCTTGGAGGCTGTTGGGGCAGCACTAGTCTGAGCTGGTTTTGGAGCCATCTCTGCTACAGAGCCATTTCCCTTCTTTACAAAGGTTTCAGGGATGGGAAGGGATGGCTTGGACTATATGACCGCAAGGGGCAAACTACTGTCTTGTCTCCCGTACGGTCATTTCCTGCAGCAAGGGTTCAGGGCCACCGTGGAGCATACGCAGTGCTGGATGGGCATGAATGAGAAGACGGAGCAAAGTCTGAAGTCCTCCTTCCCACATCTGGGAAACTGGTGCTTCCCCACAGACACTCCCAGAAGCAAAGGGCACAGAGGCCGTGTCTGCAGCACACAAGCCTTTGCAAAGTCCTTCAGCCCAATACAGGATCCCAGGGGGCTGGTGCCAGGGGGCGCGCTTGCCCCTGCCCTTTCTAGGCCTTCGGGTAGTCATACAGGCAGGAGGTGAAAATAATGTCTTTGGCCATCCCCTAAAAAACCAACTTTGCCAGCAGCCTCCTCCTGAACCAGCCGGACTGCGGTAGGGCTTTAGTGCCAGCATCATACAGACAAGACAGACCCACCCCCTCCACGGGGCTCGTGGGCTAAATGGGCCAGATGGCAGCTGCCCAAAACGAGACGGCACATGGAGCTACACGCCGGCCCCTGCTGCCCTCTTGCATCCAAGGTCCCTGTCTCCTCACCAGGGCTCTGGGAGTCCCCAGGGCCTGCAGTGCAAGGGGACCATCCAAGCCAGGGTGAAGAGACGGCCTCAGCATTCAAGCAGCATCATTCGGCCTCGCTCCAGACACAAGCCCAGGGCTCGCCCAGGCCCCTCTGAGGCTGGCAGCTCAGAGGCCAGGATTGCAGTCAGGAAGCAGCCGACACGGCGCTCCCGGCACAGGACCCCGAGCCCTCCCGCCTGCCCTCCATGGCACCAGGCCGCAGCTGGGACAGCTCGCACCCTGCCCGTGCGGTGGAAGGAGCCCCGCTGAGTTGCAAGCAGCTCCCAGGGGCATCTCGCTCCCAGCTGGCCTCTGCAACAACCTGAGCACCCACAGGTGTGTTTGCACTGGTGGGGAATGGCCTCCCCACCAGCACAGAGTCGCACAAAGAAAAAGGCTCCGGCAATGCGAGGCAGCAGTGAGAGCCTCCAGGTTTTCCCTGTAGCGAGACAGGAGAGGGTCTTAACTGAAAGAGGCATCAAGATGCCTCCAGAAGGTCCATGTAGCAAGGGGCTGAACTGCAGAGCCCACCCCACTAAGTTACAGCACCTGGTTTTGCAGAAGAGCTGGCAGTATCCTCCCCATCCTAGGTCTGACTGTACCTTCTAGCAGCCACAGGTTGTAAGGATCTGAAAATCCTGCCCCTGCAGGACTCCACACAGGTCCAGCTACGTCCTTTTGTACTCTTTTTCTGCCCCCGCCGTGTGAAAGAACCGCACGAGACACAGGGGAGATGGGTCACACTGGGGGCCCCGAGACGCTGGCCCCGTCCAGTGGAAGAAGGGAACGGATCCCCCAGAGAGACGTGTTGCCCCCTGGACTAGGAGTCATGGCAGGGGCTAGCAGCAATAGGAGGCTGGGCATTTGCAGCCAGGAGGGTGGTGTTTATGCAGCAGACGTCCCTGTAGCACAGGTCCACGGCGCTCTGCCCAAAGGAATCGAGGAGGTGTTTCTCCCAGGCACTTCCACTCTGAGAAAGGCGAGATGTCCTAGGGGTAGAAAAGGACTTGAGGGTCAAGGTGCTGAGGCATCAGGGGAGACAGCGTTCCCTGTAGGCTACAGCAAGAGACCAGCTGGGCTCTGCTCCTGGCCTTGCTGATGTGCTCTAACGACAAGCCAAGTCGTTTAAGTGCTGCGGGGGGGGCAGGCTGGCTCCAAAGAAGTCATTCCTCACCCCCAAGTGCCAGTTATGAGAAGGTATTGCTGTCCTTACTCAGGGCTTTGGGGCCAAGGGACTGGCGTGCCATGCAAACACCTGACTGCAAGAGGATGAAAGCAGTGCTGGAGGGTGCTGGGAGGGGTGGGGGTACGAAGGCTGGCAGGGACAACCTCGTGGGAGTGGGGCAGTTCGCAGGGTGGTGCATTTTGGCCTGAAGGTCAAGGGGGCGGAGGCCTCCTTCTGCCCTGGAAGAATGTGCGGATGTCAGCATTTTTGTTGGCCCAGGGCTGGGGCTGGCTCCGGAGGCCGTGTGAAACTCAGCGTCAGCCCGCTGGGAGGAATGCAACGGGGTGTGGAGGGCACATAGGAGAGGGTTTGGGGAGCGATGGGCTCCACTTTGCATAGGACGGATCATTTGTCCCTGCTCCCTGCCCGCAAGGACTGCGCCGTCTCTGCAGGGAGATGCCAGGAGGGCGCAGTCCTGGCCTTACTGAGGTGCCATGTGCTGGGGTCATTTACCCACTTGAGTTGCGTCCCGCCGACTCAGGTGAGCAGAGGGCCGTCGCCGACTCCCAGGTGACACACCGGAGTGAGGCTGCGTATGTTCAGAAGTACCTGGCCTGGACTGGCATGCAGCCGCTGCATTGCCAAGGTGAGGGCTGTTTGCTGCCGTGCTGGTCTCAAGACCAGAGAGAAGTCAGAGTCATGGCAAACTCCCTGGGGAACGGTGGTTGTCCGTGCCCCTGGCGGGCATGCAGTACCAGCCCTTAGCTTCACGCCCTGCAAAGGCCGGCTAGCTTCAGCTCCGAAGCAGGCTGGATGCTGCCCATGCTCCCACACCCAGAGTCTCATTCCTGATCTCATGGGCAGGCCTTCAGCTGGGAGCTGAAGCAAGATGGTAATCAAGAGGATGGGATTGCAAAGCTCTGGTCATGACAGATCACACAAGCGCGGGGCCAGAAGGGTCCTTGAGGCTCATCTCCGACCTCCTGCCCAAATGTTATTTCTCACTCCTCCTCCCTGGCTGCTGCTTACCTGGCCTCCTCCAGTGAAGGAGATGTCATCAACTCCCCAGGCAGCCTCTTCCATGGCCTCACCGCTCTAACAGCGAGGGAGTTTCTCCTGAGATCATGCAGCAGCAGGCTAGGACTGGCAGGACGAGGATTAGAAGTGAGGACTCAAACCATTCGGGGTGGAGGCAAGCAGCTGAGAGCAGATAAATGGGGTCCATAATCCTGGCTCTAGTCTATGCGTATCCCCGTACCTCACTCCTCCGCCTCTCCCTTCTTGCCCCACAGGTGATCGGTGTGGTCATGGACATGTTCACCGACGTGGACATCTTCAAGGACCTACTGGAGGCAGGCTTCAGGCGCAAGGTGGCCATCTACATCATCGTGGATGAGACCAATGTGAAGTACTTCCTTCAGATGTGTGAGCGGGCGCAAATGCATGCTGGGCACCTCAAGGTAAGGAAGGCCAGACAGATGGCATGCGACAGTCACATCCCCAGGGCAGCTGGAGCCAAGAGATGGAGAGGCAGGAGTGGACCAGGGCTGTCTGGGTGCAGTTCCCTACCATCTGACCCCTTCTGTCCTCATTTATACCTGGGCAGAGCACGTGTGCGCTCCCTGCACCCTTCCTGCTACTAGGAGGGGATGTGAGATCCACAGAGATTGCAGCAGTAAGTGGCTGATTCATTCCTGGGGACTGCAATGCATCCTAGACAGCAGAGGCCAAATGCAGCGGCAGAGCTGGGATGGAGCAGGGAGGAGGGAGGTTTGTAGTGCCCGCCTGAGGGAGCAGCTGTTGAGCTCACGATGCCCAAGGTTAGGTCCTTGGCAGAAGATGAGTTCACGGGGCCACGGGGCCTTTGCGTCTCCTGGTTCATTCTCAGAGCTGGGCACTGGCTCAGGACTCAGCTCTTTGTGCCAAGAGACCGGGCAGGCAGGGTGGGCTCTGTCTTTCTTGCTGTGCCTCTGCGATGGGGGTGACACCAGTGCCTGGGCCTGGACAGGGTGACTGAGCTCCCAGGGCAGTGCTGCTGCCTGAAGGGCTCCCTTCTGCATGCCCCAGAGCACAGGCACGCAGGGCAGAGGCCATCCTGAGCTCAGCTGGGGCAGCTTTCCTCTGCAGGGAGATCTATAATAACAGCTGGCTCAAGGGAAGGCAGGCAGTGTTGCTCAGTGGGGTGGCCAGAGACCTCCACTGCGGTCCCGGCTCTACCAGGGAGGAGCTGGCGAACCAAAACAGCCCATGGGACTTGCCCTTTCCGGTGGGGTGCAGAGGTAGGGCAGGGAGGGTCCCTTGTCATTCACGGTGTGGCAGGTGGGGCAGGCTGACAGCTGCACAATGCCTGTCGCTCCGGCCAGCCCAGCATGAAACCTCCACCCAGCGCTGAGTCCTCGGCAAGGAGAACGACACAGATCTGTCGGCACAGGTTGTTTGCCCAGGCTGGTGACGCAACAGGGCGGTAGGCCTTGATGCCCAGGTCTTGGTCCTTCCTCTGAACAGGAAAGAGCGATCTGGGAACAGGTGCCCGAGGACGCAGTGTCTCGGTGCCCAGGCTGTGCCTGGCAGCCGTGGGCCTCAGACCTGAGCCCTCTCTGCATGAGCCAAAGGGCAATTGCTGGTGGGAAGAACATCTCCCCCTGCACGCTGCAGCTTCCCCTTTGGACCTGGGTTCAGCCCTGCCTGGCCCTTCCCGGGCTGAGAAAGCAATCTTCTTTCCCCACACTAGCTGTCACGCCCAAGCTTACAGCTGCCAGAAAACCCCACGCCTCGTCCTTTCCGCCTTGCACGCTGTCGCGCAGGGGTGGAACACACTGGGCACGGCGATAGCGGACCTGTTCCAGCAACTCTCCCTACAGGGACAAGCCCTGAGGCTTGAAATACCAGCCAGGCTCCCTACACACACGCCTGGAGGACTTGCAGAGGATGGAGAAGATAAAGGCCACACGAGCTACAAAAAATTGGACCCTCGATTCACGCAGCTTGTGACTAATCCATACATATCTTGTGAGCTGCAGGCACGGTGCCCAGGTTCAGCACGAGCGAAGGATTTGGGGCCTGGAAGTCGGTGCCATTCAGACCTGTGATGTGTGGGGGAGACAAGGCGCTGCTGTGGGGTGGTGGGGCGCTGTCTGCCCCTCCACTGGCTTTTCAGGCCCCGCTATAGTAGCTACCACCTGTGTCAGCCTCTGCTCTGGAAACCATCCAGGAGTGCTCAGGCCCGATGAATGATGGGGAAGTTGTGGAGGCGGAGAGCACGGCCGGGTTCAACAAGGGACTGGATAAATGCACAGATGACAGATCTATTATTGAGCAGGAAAGTTAGCGATGTCTCCTCTGGCATCTCTAACCCAATAACGGTGGATTCCAGGAAGGGTGCTGAATAGGAGAGAGATACCCAGTTTGATGCTCTCCCTCTATAGCATCCATTTCTGCCACTGTCACAGACAGGACCCTGGGCTACATGGACCAGGGTCTGACCTGGTCCATGTAGTGTATGCTCTTATGTACTTTGGCCAGGCCCCTAAGATGCTGGTGCTGCTGCTCCCGAGGTGGCGCTGATCGATGGTAGCCAGCCCCAGCCATTTGCAAGGCAAAGGAGAAGGGGCCAGTGCTACCCCAGCAGCCAGGGAGAGCCCTGGGGCAACTGCAGCACAAAGGATGGACAAGGAGCCAGCAGGACAGACTGCAGAGCTGTCATGGTGACCACACTCCAGAGATGGGCACCCAGGCAGAGATGGGGGCAGTTACCAGAGCAGGGAGGTACAGCCCCAGGATCAAACAGCTCTGTCCATCGTAACAGCTAGCACTGAATTAGCCAAGCCACATCAAAGACCCCTCAATCCAGGCTGAGCTGGGCAAGACTGTTTCAGCTCAGGGAAGATCCAGGCTGGAACAGCAAGAGCTGGTGCTAGTGAGGCCCCTGGGACATAAGCACAGTCTTGGGGGGCCCTGGGTCAGCACAAACAACTACACCCAGCCGTGTAGGGGACCAAAGGTTCAATTCCAACCTAAGTCTCTCCCCGGAAGACACTGGGCAAGATGAAAGGTGCCACAGAAGCGCTGGTTGTTTTCTCTGCATCTAATCAGCCGGTGCGATGTGCTTGGCAAGGAGCGTGCCAATGACGGTAACGCGGGCAAGTCGTTAAGCAACTGGCGACTTGTTTGTAAAGTGACTCACAACTCGGAGCCACGCCGCTGGGCTCTGCTATCACTCTCGCTCCAGCTTTTCTTCCAGCTCCTGATTAAACAAGCAGATCCGACTTAATAGATCGCGGAGAAGTGGGGAGGAAGGGAAGTAAAGCACACCCCTGGCTGCGGGTGTTTTGCTCCTGCTGGGTGTTACCTGAGAACGGCTTAGGGTCCCTTTGTGCACTGGAGAAAAGCTTTGGTTCAGAAGGAGCTGCATTAAGTCACTGGGAAAGTAGGGAGGCCAGCAGGGCCTGGCGCAATGTGGGGTGAGGTGGGGTGAAGCTAAGCCTGGCTTGTTTGCATGGGTGCGGAAGTGGTCGCAGGGCAGCATTAAACAACCAGTCCTGGAGATCCAACCATCTTGCCTCTCGTCACCCCCTGAGTTCTCCCCGGAGCCGGTCCCGAAGGCCCATTCCTGGCTTAGTTTGCTGCAACTGGCTCAAAGCTGATCTCAGCCCAGCACATGCAAATTAGAGGGATAAGACCTTTGCAAATCAATGCGTTTCATGCACAGGGCGGCAGGTTCTTGTCACGCTGTCTCCTCCCATGCTGCTACACTGCTTGCCTTGCAGCCCTGCAGTCGCCATGGAAGGATCGGACATTAAGACATTTGGGAGTCACGCGACTAACGATTGCCTTTGTAAATCGGTGTCTCCCCCGGGGCCCGAGTGCCTCAAAAGTTAAGCACAGGCTTAAGTGCTTTGAGGGGTCACAGTCCAGAAGGATAAAAGCAGAGACCCCGTTGAAGCCAAGGAGGGGAGGGAATGGGGCAGGGGGGAGCAAGGTCTAATACTAGCTCTAGCGTTATGGGCCTTCAGGAGGTTTTTTTATAGGGAGGCTAAAAGCATGGATAACGCTCCAGATGGGAACACAGGACACCTGGGCTCCATCCCTGGCTCTGCCACTGGCTGTCTGGGTGGCCTTGGGCAGGTCACTTCACCTCCCTGTGCCTCTGTTTCCCTTCTGAGCCTGTGTCTGTTTTGGTGAGGCCACAAGCAATCTGAGCCAGCGGACACTGGGACTCTGCCCAGCACCGAGTGCGAGGGGGCTCTGAGCTCACCAGGGGCTTTTGCTAGGAGCTGTAACATGAATTCATGTTAAATATTGACCTGGGGAAACAGAAGCAACCAAGCTGGTTTTAGAGGGAACATGTTCCCTACGCTAAGGGCCTTCACGGCAGCAAGACCCGTAGACAATGGCGGGGACGGGTGTTGACAGCAAGTGCAAAAAGGTGTTGCTGTCCTCGGCTGTAGGGGAAAGGTGGAAGGGGTCTTATGTGGGGAAGGGAACGCCTGCATGCCCAGATGATTCAATAGGTGTGCTTGTGTCTCTGTTTCATGGCCAGGCCCTGCCAGGGTAACAACCTACTATTTCTAACTGCAAAAGGAACTGGTGCTGACAGCTATTTCTAACTCTTTGGTGCCTGGTGCTGACAGCCCCTCCTCGGTCTGTTAGGCAGCAGCCGCAACCCAGGAAAGATGGACCTGGCCCTTCTCTCAGCTTCCCCTAGCCCCGAGCAAGCATGGGAGCTTCCCAAGACAACAACTGAATGCTGTTAAAGCAGTGATCTGATACAGACCCGCAAGGCAGGGGTGCCCTCAAAAACAGGGGGGTATTAGACATACCAGCCACTTCACTGTCTTTCCATGAATGACTCCAAAGGCCCCTAAACACGGCCCATCCCTGTACTATCCCAGGATGATGCAAAAGGGTACCGGCACTGAGACATGGCTGCACACCCAGCACATATCACATGCCAGACCTCCCGGGGCAGGCTCTGCCTCTTGGGAGAGCTCATGGCACACCCAGTGCTGCACCCTGCCAGCTACACCATTTCTGGGTCAGTGCATGCATCCCAGGGGGTGCTCGCTAACGGACTAGTATAGTGCAGACACCCCCCAAGGCTTGTAAAATTCAGTGTTATCAGTTATCACATGCGTGCTACCCCACAAGACTATAGAGTATAGAACAAAGGGACTGAGAAGCACTATGCAAGGGGTGGAGAAGCTGCATGACAACACATTAGGCACTTCGGAAAGGCAGTTTGCTCCTGAACTCAAGCCCCAGCCCAGCTGCTGACTCGCTGTGTGGTCCTGGGCAGGCTGGTTGATCAGGCAGCATCCGGGCTCACACCGAAGCCCTGGGGGATAACATGGAGCCACCTCCGGGAGGAGTTGTGAGGCTTGGTTAGTCAGCCCGTGTCTCAGCAGACAGCTGAATGCTGCTTTGAAGATAAATGCTGCAGCTCCACTTTCAGGTCAGGGGCCAAGCTGAGTTTCGGTGCCGGGGGTGAAAATTCAATGGAACAAAACCAGATTGACGCCCGAATCCAGGCTAGGAAGGGAGGCACGACAGGACAACCTAAACAAGGGGCCGACCAGGCCAACTGAGGCTAGACCCCAGTCCACATAGGCAGAGCTGTCAGCCCCTTGCTGCCCGTGCCCCAGCCCCAAGGCATCTTTCCAATGGGCTGCTTGATTTTGCGTTGCAGCATCTCCGCGTTCGAAGCACTGGGGGAACTGAGTTCTTCACCCGATCGGCCACCAAGTTCAAAGGTGTCTTGGCCCAGAAGTTCATGTTCGTGGATGGGGACCGAGCCATGTGTGGATCCTACAGGTAACAGAGGGACCATTCGCACCCTGCTACAGTTTCACATAGGCTGCAAGGGGTTAAGCTGACCAGAAAGGGGACCCACAGGCTTTATTTTGAAGGTGGTGTGAACAATGATGACTAGCAATGGATAGTCAGGAATCCTGCAGTGGTCACCCAAGGTGAGATGTACCCACACCCTCAATCTGCACCTGCCGCCCAGCGATCCTAACTGGGGGTCTCAACCCAGACTTGCCCTCAGCCTGCTAAATTGAACGGCAGTTTTGGAGATGAGACTTGATTCTAGATATCTCTTAAGACAGGACTAGGCTGGGCACACGCAAGGCACTGGGAATGGAAGGCAAGCCCAGGCCAGCAAGGTTCAGAACAGCCCCCAAAAGACAGCTCCAGAGTCCAGGGTAAAACAGCTCAGAATCCTTCAACAAAAGATATTTCCATTAGAAAATGCCAGCGATTGTTGAAGTGAAAACTCTCAGACAGGAACAGGCTGGTTCCAACAAGTGTTTTCACTCAAGATCTGCCAGAAGGAACCAGGCTGGCATTTTCTAAGTGGAAACTCAGAGCTTTCAAAATGACTTGCTGTTGCTCTATCTTAGTTCATCTGAAGGGGTCCCGGTTGGAGTGAAACTTTTCCAACAACCTCATCGGAGTTCCTGGGCTTTTCCCTTTTTATGTTTTTAAGGTGGGGAAATGTTTATGATTTTAGCTCCTCCTCCTAAGGCAGGACAAGAGTTTAAAAAAAACAACCCACAAAGTATTTCTGCCAGGTGCAGAAACCATTTCCTGCCCAGCTCTGTGAGACTAACTAGTTCAGAGTTTTCACACCTCTCTAAGCCTTTACGGTGCCACCCTGCCCTGCCTTCTGCCTGACTTCACTCGCACGGCAAACCACTGCTGCTGGCAGCTCTGACAGGGGTAACAGCGAGCCAGGGGGTTGGAGGGCCTGGCAGGGCTGTTCGTCATTGTGCGCTCAGAGGGCTTCTTTTTCCATTCCAGCTTTACCTGGTCGGCAGCAAGGACAGACAGGAACGTCATCACGGTGCTCTCTGGCCAAGTGGTGGAAGCATTCGACAAGCAGTTCCAGGAGCTGTACCTCCTGTCCCGGGGGCTCAGCCTGAAATCCATCCCCATGGGAGAGGAGCCCGAGCCTGAGCCGGTGGCACTACCTTCTGCTTCACCTGTGACTCCTGCCAATGCCGTGGTGAAGAAGCTGATTAACCCCAAATATGCCTTGGTGAAGGCCAAGAGTGCAGATCAGATCACCAAGTCGTCCTCCGAGAAGCAGGCGACCGACAGCCAAAACCAGGTGGCCGACGGCAAAAGCAAGGCCCTTCCTGGGGCTCGGACGGCTGCCGAGCAGCAAAGTGACGTGATGGAGCTGGCTCCGCCCATCCACCCCGGCCTCCTGAACCTAGAGAAAGCCAACATGTTCGACTACCTGCCCACCTGGGTCGAACCCGACCCGGAGCCAGGCAGTGAAGTCCTGGGCTACATCAACATCTTCGACCCCAAGATCAAGAACGTGAAGCTGTCCCAGATGAACCGCATCAAGGTGTGTGATGTGGCCCAGGCCAACGCCCAGCACAGGCAGATGATGCAAAGCAAGGAGCTGGAAGGCAACAAGAGCCACGGCCACGAGTCTGCTCCAGCCTCTGCAAGCCCAAGGGAGGTGGCTCCAGTCCCAATGGAGAGAGCCCCCATGCCTAGGACACGTCTGGATGCGAAGGCTACTGAGAAGAAGGCAGGAGGCCCTTTTGCCAACCTGGCTGTGAGCCAGCATCTGAGACAGCCTGAGACCCACGGCACGGATGTGAGACCCCCTGTCCCAAAGCCAAGGACTGCCCTTGTCAGGAGCTTGACCACAAAGCACGATGCGCTCTGCAGCAATAGGGAAGGGGTCAGGGGGCAGCCCCAGCCCACGGGGGCAGAGCAGAGACATGCTGAACACGAGCCGTGTGGTAATACCCAAATAGCTCACACCAAGGCCACCCACCATCCACAGTCCCCGCCTGCTGCCTGCACCCAGAACGGGCTGGGAGGGGACGAGGACGACGGCGACGAGTACATGACATTCAGTGACCACAGCTGCTCCGAGAGCTCGGCTGCACTCAGCGGCCGCTGCTCCTTTGCCTCGTCCACCTCCGGAGAGTACTTTGAAGTGAGGGACCGCTTTGGACCGCTACGGAGGACCAACTCCGACGTCATCCCCAATGGCATCATCACACACCTGCCCCGGAAACTGAGCGACCCCCACATCAGCCGGGGCACCTTCGTCAGCCCCCTGGGCAGCTTACCATCGGCCAAGAATCTCACCCTAGAAGACGTGTCCGCGAAGTGGAAAAAGGCCATGGAGGAGATTAGGTGTGTGTTAAGAAGGGGCAGTAGCCCGCATCCGTTACTGGATGGCCATGGCCCCTATGCTAGCAATGCCGTGCAGGTAGGGACAATTGTCATACCCTTCTCTCCTTTGCTTTCTTGCCCTGTGCTATGAGCTAGTTGAACACTGCAGCTCCTGAGGCTAGACGATCCCCATCCAAAACACCACTGGGCCAGCTGAGTGGAGGTGGAAGAAGTCATTCCTGGCTTCTTTCTATCATCCCAGGGGCTGTTGAGGATGGCTAGACACTCGGTTCCCCAGAGGGGTATGTCTCAGAGGTTCGGTGCCTACTGTCTCATAAGTGGAGCTTGTCAGACCTGATAAAGCCCTTGGACAGGGCAGGGGCTGAACAAGAGGTCCCATGGGGTGTAAAGGGAAAAGCTGGTGGGAGATTGATTCTCAGGAAAGCCAGGAAAAGGTGCCAAGGGAGCTGGGAGCCAGGTGAGGACACAGAATACAGGACTTTGCACCCAAGTGAGAATCAGGCCCCCTCCACCAGTGCTGCAGCAGTAAGTGCCAGGGCAGTGACTGAGGCCCAGGCAGGGCTGTGCCTGCGGGCGTGCCCTGGCTGTAAAGGCGATTAGCATCAAAGAAGAAAGCGCTGGGTGCATAATTACTGGAGAGACAGCCTGCCTGGCACAGAGAAGCAGGTCCGGCAGCCTCCTTAGGGCAACCTGCAGCAGTCGCAGCCAGCACCTTCAGGCCAGCCAGCTCCATGCACGCTGCCTAGTCACGGGGCCACAGTGAGGGCTCGGGGCTGGCATGGTCCGAGGGCCCGGCTTCTCTAGCTTAGTGCAGCATGACCTGGACAACCCCCCACCAGCTCAGCCATGGCAGGTCCTGCTCCCCTCCCAAACACTCCCACCATTTCATTCTCTGAAAGCTCAGGCATCTGGTCTCCGCTGCACCTCCATGCCCCAGCTCTCAATAGGTCCAGACAGTCCCAACCCAATCAAGGCTGATGGAAAACAAAGAGGCTCCATTAATAGAGCCATTTCCATTCCCCCCAGCCAAGGACCTGGCCCTCTGGGAAGCTGGCATCAGTGCTAACAGAAAATGAGATTCACCAGCCCGGACGCAGTATCATTTGTCCTCTCTTTCCCCCAGGAGGATTCTGCGCCAAAAGGCCAAGGCTGTTTCACTCAAAGAGAGTCAATGCAGCCAGCAAAATCTAGCAAAGCTGGGCATGGCCAAGCCTTTGATACGTTGCCCCAGCTGCCCAGATACAGCACTATGCAAACCGGGTGGGAATGTTTGTATTCTAGCAATAGCTTGCATGAACCCTACTACAAAAGGCACCTGCGTAGCAGGCCGTCATTGAGAGGAAAACAAAAGAAACCTCCGCTCATGCAAACACACACAGGGTATTTTCTTGTGGGTGTAACAACTCTTGCCAGGCTGAAGCCATTGATGGGTAACTCTACCATCCCATCAGTCCAGCCTAGACCTCACTTGGGCTGTAAACAGCAAGCCCTCAGTCCATCTCTTACTACAGCGTAACACCCCTTCCTGTTCTCAGAGCATTTCGCTAGCTATGCACACACAGCACCAGAGCACTGCAGCCGTCTCTGGGGTAGAGGAGAGCAGCCCAGGAGTAACAGCACAGGCGAGGAGGTGGGAAGGGGTTTTTGGTCAAGGACCCTCAGGAAAATCCCACATTGTTTGAGGAGTGCCCCCGGGGTGTTTGGCATCTGTGCAAAGCAGCCCGATAGTTCAGAGCCGACTTGCCCCACTGCCCCCATCCTTCCTGCATTTTGCTTCAACCCCCACTGAATGCCAGTGGCTTTTGCTTAGTGACAGGCACTGTTAAACCCTGCCAGGGCCAGTCCTGTGCCTTACCTGGGTACAGCACCCGACTGATCATCCCAGGCATGATGATAACAACCAGAGGCAGCATTTTCAAGTAGCTGGCCAGGATGGAGCCGGCCTTGGCGTGGTTCAGGTTCTTGGCAGAGAGAGACCTCTGAACAATGACCTGCAGGAGTGTGACAGGAAGGGAAACATGAGCAGCCCCCAATGGCTGCAGCTGGGCCTGGGTTTCTGTCCCTGCTCAAGTGCACCTGAGTTCACGTCCCAAACACCTGGGGATAGTCAGTGCCTGACCCAAATGCAGCTCAGAGCCTTATATCCTGCAGGCCTGTCCAGACAAGAAGTGCTCCCTCCTTCCTTTCCACTAGAGAAGCCTCATACCTCCTTTGGTAAAAGCCCCTGGAGACTTCAGCTCTCAACATGCCTTCCATTGAGAGGAAGGAGGAGTGGGACAAGCTGGGGCCTGTGGTCCCTGCAAGTTGTGCCCTGTATCAGAGCAAGCAGACAGCTAGTGTCTGCTCCGGTCTAAACCAATGAGTGTGAAGTCAGGGCATAGAGGAAGCTGGGACTGGAACAGACCTCTGGGGTCACCAAATCCAATCGTCTGCTCCAGCAGACACCCACATTAGATAATCCCTCTCCTACATGCACCCAGCTTCCCAAGTAAACCATGGGTAAGTGAAACCACCATAGCCCAGTCTAATGCGAGCAAACAGCAGGGCTTGCCGTGAGTGTGTGAATGACAGGAGTCCACACCTGTCCCTAATCTGGCCTGGGGTGACCTGTCTGCCCTATTCACACAGCCCAAAAATGCTGCAAGTCCCAAAAACTGGGAGAACCTGCTGGTACTGGCTGCAGTGGAGGTAGGAGGAGACAGCACAAGAGAGACTCACAAAGCATTGATCCCAAGACCCCGGGCAGACCCTGCGCATGCAGCCTCACATGTACAGGACCATGTAGAGACAGGGAAACTGAGGCGGGGAAGTTAAGCATCTCACCCAATGTCTCTGAGCAAAGCCAGGGATACAGACCAGCTCAGCTCCCCTGCCACCCTCCCTTCAGTGCAGGGGTGCACAGGCACGTGCAGTGGCAGTCACCTCACCAGCATGGGGTAGGGCTTGGGACCCAAGCAGACAAAGCTTTGAGCGAGGAACAGAGGTTCAGTTCCTGCTCTGCCAGACTTCCTATGTGAAATCCCTGAGCCTCCCCACCCGTGCACTGGGCAGCCCCCCACTTGAGGCTGTGGTGAGGGCAGACATGCTGTGAGGTCCCCAGGCACCACAGTGGTGGGCCTTAGCCATGGAAAGTGCAGAACAGTGACCAAAGAGCTGCCCTGCGGTAAGCTAGCGTGCCGCATTCGTGAGCTCAGAGCCTCACGCGGGGGGACCTGTTTGCTGAGGGTGTTACGGCTCATTGCCTAGGACGCCAGCGATCCATCTGCTTTAGCTAAATATTTGTCAGTGCCGTCCAGTGCCCCAACCTGCTACCAGCCTTCCCGCCCCTGCCTTGGGCACCTCCCTGGGATGGCTTATTTTGCACAGATCCACCTCCAAGTGTCCTAACATGCAAGTGCTTTGCAATCCAAGAGAGACCCCCAGGACTCGGGGCCCTGTCTTGCATTGCCTTCATCAGGTGAAGCAGCCATGAAATGCTGTCACTGCTGGGAGCAGAGGGATTCTGATGTGAAAGGGTTTTCACAGGTGCCAGTGACAAAAACTGGCCGATGTCAGGAGAATATGGCCCCTTGAGAGCCATTTGAGAGCAGTGGCTGCAGAGAGGCTCCCAGCAGCCTGGTCATGGGCCCATTTAACTCAGTTGAGTTGATTCATGCAATGTGGGGCACTTAAACTGGCCTAACCCTTGCCTACACTCCACAGAGCTTAATTCAGTAGGTCAGACTCAACCTTCCCAGTCTAGACCACGCCTCAGTGTGTGGGAGTCCACAACAAGGTGGACGGCAGGGGATAAGGGGGCATCAGGGTATTGACCTAACTGAATGGAAACAAAGACAGTGCCATCAAGGGTGTGACCGCAGCCCATGTGGGCATCCTTGAGCCAGTTTTCCTTTGGCCAGCAGGAGATCCTGTAGCAGCACAGCTGTAGCTACTAAGGCTGCAGGCAAGGAGCACATACTCTGGTCTCAGGAGGGCTTGAGCTGCCTTTGCTGTAGCCTGGACTGCTCCAGCCCCCCAATCACTGGGGTCTGTGCTCCAGCACTGTGTTAAGTGGGTGAGGGGTGCCAGTGAGGCCCCAAACTGGACACAGCTGTGCCCAGAGGAGACAGTCTGCCACCTTATCTTGAGTCGCTGTGGGAGGTAGGAAAGCTTCTGGGACAGAAACCCCCTCTGATGGTGCATGTTGCACCTTCACAAAACGTGTGATAGCAGCAGAGGCTCCATGTCACAGATGAGCCCTGAGCCGGCTGGGTCAGAGCTAACCTGGGTACGCTGACATGGGGCAGTCACCATCTGACTGCAGCACCCCAGAAGGAGGCAAATATCTGGTGGGCAGAGCCATATAAAGACTGGACTAGTACTAACAAGCCCAGGCCCGCTCTAAGCCTACATCTGCGAGGGTATGGACCTGCCTTAACCCACCGACGACCTGAAACGGCCACATAGAGGATCACAGTGAGTGGTCAGGCAGCTGTACGCAGGCAGGACAGCAGGGTGCCCACGGGGTCCTAGGTAATGCTGGGAGCTTCCAGGGGAAAGAGCCTGTTTTATCAGAAGACAAGCAATCACAGATGCAGTGATCAGAAAAACTGGGTGAAGGCTCAAGTCATTCTCTTGCTAACTGCCTCAAACCAAGGAAAAAATCTAGCTGGGGAATCCTGAAGGAGGAATGGGACAGGTAGCATGCGAGTAAACTACACAGTCCAGTGAGTGGCAAATTGGCTAGAGGGTCGCACCCAGAGAGTGGTGGTGGACGGGTCGGTGTTGACCTGGAAGGGTGTGGGCAGTGGCGTCCTGCAGGTCTCAGTCCTTGGACTGATACTCTTCAATGTCTTCATCAGTGACTTGGATGAGGGAGTGAAGTGTACTCTGTCCAAGTTTGCAGATGATACAAAACTTTGGGGAGAAGTGGACACGCCAGAGGGCAGGGAACAACTACAGGCAGACCTGGACAGGTTGGACAAATGGGCAGAAAAGAGAATGCGATTTAACAAGGAGAAATGCAAAGTGCTGCACCTAGGGAGGAAAAATGTCCAGCACACCTACAGCCTAGGAAATGACCTGCTTGGAGGCATGGAAGCGGAAAGGGATCTTGGAGTCCTAGTGGACTCCAAGATGAACATGAGTCATCAGTGTGACAAAGTCATCAGCAAAGCTAACTGCACTTTATCGTGCATCAGCAGATGCATGACGAACAGAGCCAAGGAGGTGATACTTCCCCTCTATCGGGTGCTGGTCACACCACAGTTGGAGTACTGTGTCCAGTTTTGGGTGCCACACTTTAAAAGGGATGTGGATAACCTGGAGAGGGTCCAGAGAAGGGCCACTCGCATGGTTAAGGGCTTGTAGGCCAAGCCCTATGAGGGGAGACTGGGGCACCTGGACCTCTTCAGCCTCCGCAAGGGAAGGTTGAGAGGCGACCTTGTGGCTGCCTACATGTTCATCACGGGGGCACCGAAGGGAATTGGTGAGTATTTATTCACCAAGGCGCCCCCAGGGGTTACAAGAAATAATGGTCATAAGCTAGCAGAGTGAACATTTAGACTGGACATTAGGAGGAACTTCTTCACAGTTAGAGTGGCCAAAATCTGGAATGGGCTCCCAAGGGAGGGGGTGC